CAGCAGCAACATGAAACAGATCAGCAGCAACATGTAACAGATCAGCAACAACATGACACAGATCAGCAGCAACGTGTAACAGATCAGCAGCAACATGAAACAGATCAGCAGCATCATGAAACAGATCAGCAGCAACATGAAACAGATCAGCAGCAACATGATGTGATTTTTCACAGTGATTACCTGGTTAAAGATTCATGAGTCTAACAGCTTCAGACATAAAGAAGAATTTCATGAAATGAGTCAAATATTCTCCAAACTCTGGTGGTGGATTTTAAAAACCTTCTCTTTGACGTTAGCGCTGAGCTCAAGAGGAACTTTGTGTGAAGCTGCGATGGTCAGCAATTAACGACAGGAAGAAAAAACGATCACATGTGGAAGTGAGACAGGTGGAGGTGAGACAGCTGTGCATCACCTGTATAACCATTAATGTTAGACGTCACTTACAGCAGCAGGCTCAGCAGAAAGCTCTGAAACTGTAACCAGTAAAAACGTCCTCCACTGGACCAGCACCTGTAGAAATGTCGTTTTCAGTACATCAGTGGTTTCTGTGGAAAAGAGCCCACGCGACGCGTTTGTGTTTTTACCTGCACTTTGTACACGAGTCTCCTTAGTGTTTGTAATTGGCATCGTTGAACTAGGTCCTTAAATCCCCAAAATATGTTTTCGATGATTCACAGAGCAAAGAAACAATAATAAAAATTAATAAACAGGAGATTTACAAGAGTTGGCATAACGAGAAGTTGTGGAAATGAAATTCAGATCAGTGTTTTTGGCCTCTGACTCCTGAAGCTCTCACTCCAACTAGATGCACATTTATGAATTTATCTTCAGCTCTGAATTCACATGAATAATAAAAGGTCGTGACCTTTAAGCTCAGAGAAGCAGACTTGTATAAAAATGACGACGAGTTCAGATTTATAAATGTTGTGCAGAAGTAATCTGGTTTGTAACTGGTTGTAATGTCTTTCTCTTACTGAAGCCGGGGCTTTTGGAGCCCACCTCCACACTGGTGAGGGTGCCAAAGAGTGCCAGCACCCTTGGCATTGCCATCGAGGGCGGAGCCAACACTCGCCAGCCGCTGCCACGAATCGTCACAATACAGGTGAGTTGGAAAAACGTCGTTCCTCCTGCAGAAACCAGCTCAGATTCTCCACACGGGGCCGTGCGCCCACTCCTCAGGAGTCCACTGAGGCTGCTGCTAATTTTACCGTTGATTACGTTACATCTAGGCCTGTCATAACATTTCACTGGGCGATTAATTGTCTCACAAATTATCGCAATAATCGATAATATTGTTTAAAATTGGACAATAATTAGTAATTATTGTCAAATTTACAAAGAAATGTTGGTTAGTTTTGTGTGTAATGCCTTTTTTGACCACTGGATGGCAGTATACGACTGTTTGAACCGATGGATGGATAGTGAGGGAGTGAGCAACGTGTCTCTTTAAAAAAAATGGGAGGGAGGCCCCTTGACGTGACATGGGCTGCCTCTCTTTGGTTCTCAAAATGGCTGACGCTCTCAGGGGTTTTAGCTCTTTAGCATTTTTCACACAAAGCTTTTAATGAAAACGTCAGTAAACAAGTTCTCAGCTTCTTTTTGCAGAGCAAAACATTTTTCACATCAAGCCACGAGTTTCAACCGTGAATTTTTGAGCTTTGACAAGACGAAGGTTTTTTCCCCGAGGTCGGCCTGTTAGCTTAACTCGTAGCTTAGCTGCTTTTAACGTCCAAAAACGCGATTTTGAACGTTAAAAAGTATTTTAAAGAAAAAAGAGAAAGGGAGGGGTCAGTGAAGAACCGGAGTTGAATCTTTTGTCGTCCAGTGTCTTCAGAAGAAAGAGAGAGACACAAAGAAACAAAGTTGATAAATGAAAACGAGTTGATAATTTTCATTTATCATGCGATTAATTGATTTATTGTTTATCGTGACAGGCCTAGTTACATCAGACGATTGCCAAATTACCCAAAGAAAAATCAAGTGCCGGCTAATGTGGACAGCCCAAGACAACGGTTCTGTTGTTGAAGCTCAGAAATCAAAACGGGAGACTTGTGTCGGACCTGTTACTGACTCGCTCGGGTTACAGGACTGAAGAGTCCGAGGTCTTGAGTAATCCGGACCCTACATGTCCTCTGGCCAACTGCTAACTCGACAGGACAGCGGCTGAATCTCCAGAAACACTGAACTCAAAGGAGGCTGGTCGCTCACACATTCCTGAATATGCAGCGTGACCGACTCAGTGAACCGGATCACTTTACGATCACACATCGAGTCCATGAAGTGAACTGAATTTAGCACTAATGGATCACAAACCAACGGCAGGTGGATCAGTGGCTGCACATCTAGAACTGAATAATGTTTGGTGTCAGTCCAATTCAAGATGGCCGCTGCAGGTGACTTTTAAAAGACACTGTCTATAGTTTTGATCAAAACATTGGTGTGGTAGTAGCTGAGAGTCATCCGCAACACATAGTTTGAGCTTTAACTCGTGACATTGATCAGAACGCCATTTAAAGACTTTATCCAGAACGTCTGCATCTTCTCGGCTTGGACGGTGGCGGGCGCTGTGCGTCTCCTGGGAATGTTTGGCCTTTAATTTAAATCTTCAACTCAGTGATGCAGCTAAACATGGCAGCCATGACCTGTCGGCGTTATCTACTGGGGGTTTTCTAAGTTGGATCCAAACGTTAGAGGCTCAGCCCAAATCGTTTGGTTAGTTTCCTCCGACACTCCGGCGTCTGTGTGTGCGTTTATCTGTTCAGTCGTTTACGTCATCAAAGCCGGCTCGGGGTCGTTTGCAGCCCCGATCATTTTCCAAACGCACAACCCCTGCGAGTTACAATTTTAGGATCAGAGCAGCGATCAGTCCACATCCCCTTCAGATCTGTCTCAGCCTCCCACTCGTCAGACGCTGATTGAAATAAAGGAAGAAGGGAGGAAAAAGAAGCGGTGGCTGATTGCTGAGACGAATAAAAGGTTTGGAAATCAGCACATTCAGAATCAAATAAGCTGCTGGAGGACAGGACAGCACGTGAGTGGAGGATGCAGGAAGGTGAGGTTGTGATGAAAAGACCAGGAGGTTTGCTGCAGTGGACGGATAAATGATTTGGGTGTGGGGGGGTTAGCTCAACAAACAGAAATATTCTGACTTTAGTGTGAGACAAAAAGGCGCCTGCTCTTCAATAAATAGAAAAGCATCAAATTTAAGATGTAAAGAATCCTGTAGGAACATTCTTTAGGTCTCTTGGGGAAAAATCAGCCACGTTTAATTTTTTGTTATTTATTTAAACACAACTGTTCCTGACGAAACCTAAAAATCATCTCTTTACTTTTAGTTTTTTCAAACACTCTCATAACCTCACTGTAACATTACTGCCCTCTGGTGTTCCTGAGGAAAAACACACCACAGGGAAATCCCTTTATAAATGCATTTTTGATCCCGTATTTATCATCAAATAATGCGTCCGCTTCATTGGAGCGGTTCGCAGCCGAGTGTGACGCGGCCCTGATGAGGATCAGTTCCTCCAAATCCGAGACCGTGGTCTTGAGCAGGAGATCAGTAGGCGGCTAGGTGCAGTGTCGGCAGTGAAGCGGGCGCTGTACCGGTCTGTCGTGGTGAAGAGAGAGCCGAGTCAATAGGCGAAGCTCTCAATTTACCGGTCGATCTACGTTCCCACCCTCATCTATTGGGCTGTGACTGAAACAACGAGATCTCGGATACAGGCGGCCGAAATGAGTTTTCTCTGCAACAGTTCTGGCGTTAAATCATCAATCTGATAATTACTAATTGATTTAATCTTTGTCTTTATTTCTGGATTGTTCTTAATGCAGCTGAATCTTAACCATGATGGTGTCTGCAGCTTTAGCAGACTAATTCAAAATAATATATTCTTTAATACAAGTTATTGTCTCAAGAGGGGACCAAGGTGCAGTTTTACTACGATGGTGTTCAAAACCACGAGGGAGTCTTCAGCTGAAACCAAACAACTCATTTAAAGAATATTTATTCAACTCAGTCGAGCCAAGTTACACTTTTTAAATCAGTTTGGGATTACTGCTTCAGTTTTCTTATAATTGTGTTTTTTTATTAAAACCTTTGGCTGTAGGTGGAAAAAGAGCTACATGATACCATCGCTCTGTCCCTGAACAGTAACGTCTTCAGTCTCTGACGGTGATGATGTGAGAACCTCAGAGCTGTTAGGGAGAACAGCTGCAGCAGCTCCGACAGTCAGAACATCAGAGGAAACATAAAGGTGTCATTTTGTTTTGGGCTTTCTGCCGGGCCTCGGCGTCCGGCGAGGGCACACGGTGGCATCGCATCAAAGCAGGTTTCCCCGAACAATGGAGGATCTCTGCAGAGCTGAAAGGAAGCACAACGGAGTCGTTGCAGTCCTCTGCCCTCCATGTCTCCCGTCACTCTCTGTCCGGGTCGCCTCAGTCTCAGCTTCTGACGATGCAGTGAAAACAGCTCTACTGCTGGCCGGCTGGCTGTTAGCAGGTCAGGGCGCTAATGCTAGCATCTTTGCAATGTGGCCACAGGTTGCTCCGGCTCACTTTATTGTCGTCCACCACAGAGCGGAGTGGAAACACAGTCCTTCTGTCCTGTGAGATAAATATCTTGAAAAATAAGTGAAATTCCGACTTACATTTTGGCGTGTTGCTGCATCTAGGTGTTTGTTACAGTTCTCTATTGAAAGTTTGGTTGTTACTTCAAAATCCAAGATGGCCACCACCACATAAACTGGGCATTCCAGTCACTTGAGGAAACTAAGTTTTCTAATTTTTAAATTGCTTAAAAGTATAGTTTTTGTCAACTGATTAAGGTGGCTGAAGATTAATCCATGGAGGTCAAGGCCACCATTAGCCACCCCCTGGCTCTGCCTCTGCGCCTGGTGGTGGACAAAATGTCTCGCTCCACTGGTCAGGATCCATCACTGCACCGTCTCAGACACAAAAATAAAACCTCCCTCTGTTCTTGTCTACAGTTTAACTCTTACATGTTTGAACAGCTTGCATGAAAAACATTTAGGTTTACTTCAGTCACTGTTCAATCCCAGTCCAAGAAAAAACCCACTAATCTCAAGAAGTAAAAACATTCACTATTCAAATCCCTCAGCGACCGGGGACATCGGCGTACCGCTCCAGTTTCAAACGTGATGATGTCATCCTGATGGGTCCCTTGAAGGAATGCCTGTCACCCGCCGCCTCTCCTGTCAGAGTTTAGACTACGATCATGTTCTGTTGTCGGCGCGCTGTTCAAACCTTAAAGGTAACGTCCTGCAGGACGCCGTGTCCATAGCTCACCACCACCTCACCAAGGTTCAGCTCAGTGTCTGTAAAACGTTGTCGGCTGATATCATGTAGCTGTGGAGTCCCTCAGGGTTCGGGTTTACTCTAAAAGGTAATCAGTTGGAGACGTGCAGCCCGACTGAGACGGTTTGGACATGTCCAGAGGAGGGACAGTGTGTATATTGGTTGTAGGATGTTAGAGATGCAGCTGCCAGGAAAAAGACAAAGATGCAGTTAAAGAGGACATGGAGGGAGTTGGACTGAGGACAGAGTGAGACGGAGCCCTTCTTGTCCTCTGGTGTTCAGAGCTGAGCAGAAAGTCGTCCTCAGTTTCTTCCTTCGTTTCAGCAACGCTCTCAGAATGAGTTTCTACAAGCGCCGTCTTGATTTGTAAAGAAACGGAAGAAAAAAGACGACAAATCAGACGGATGTGGACGGAGGACAAATCACTGAGACATTTCTGGGCCCAAAGCTGCTGCAGCGACAGCTGAGAGCTGAAGGATGACATCACTTCCTGCAGCTGTTAAACTTCTCCTCGGAGTTGAGCTGCAGTGTGGAAGCAGGTGAAGTCGTTCACCTGGTGAAGATCCAGGAATTGATTTATCCTCTGAAGAATCGTGTCTGCGTCTCGTGAGCAGATTAATGGAAACGTTTTTATTTTATAATAAAGTGGATCAAAGATCAAAGCCGAGCCAGGAGGTCTCTAATTACATGAGCTGTAAATAACTTGTAGATTATTGTCGCTGGAACTTTAGTCGTTCTTTGTTTGTACAAAAGTTTTGATTTTTTGTCTTATAAAGTCATTATTTTACATATGTGTTTATAAAATATAAATATTGTATATTTATAATATATATTTGTGAAGAGTATAGACTGAAAGTTATTTAGTATTTTTTATTTTCGTCTCCAGTTGTTGGAATCAAAAGGGATTAGCAGATGAATTTATTTTATTTTATAATCTATGGTTGTGTTTTATTATCTGTTAGTTTTTATTTAAATAATTATAGCTTTGTTTTTATTTTATTCTGTTTAATTTATTTGTACATTATTTTAGATAATTTTGTGCATTTATTTTGCTTTATTTTTGTTTTTTACTATTTGTTTTTCTTTGAATTTTTTATCTTTTTTTAGGCGTTTCAAATTTATTAATTATTATTGTGCACTTTGAGCCTCATTTTATTTATTTAAAGTTGTATTTACATTTTTAAATAAAATGTTTATTTTAACTCAGTTTTGAGATTTTACTAATCATTAAGATTATAAAGAAAACAAGATGAAACAGTCACGCTAAAGGGGGCCACCATTGTTTAGGGGTGGCCACTGCCCCCTCTTGGTGGCGCCCCTGCATTCAGTGTTTGGTTCCCGTTTTTGTTTTTTGACCCAGTTTGTGTTTTGAACGTTTCACCTGAAGCTTCTGTCTCTGTCTCACAGAGGGGGGGTTCGGCTCATAACTGCGGCCAGCTGAGGGTGGGCCAGGTCATCCTGGAGGTGAACGGGGTTTCCCTGAGGGGCCACGAGCACAGGGACGCCGCGCGCCTCATCGCCGAGGCCTTCAAGACCAAAGACAGGGACCACGTGGACTTCCTGGTCACCGAGTTCAACGTGGCTCTATAGCTGCGAGCCGGAGGACAGACGAGGACGTTCAGGACCCGGAGGACAAGACGAGGACGTTCAGGACCCGGAGGACAGACGAGGACGTTCAGGACCCGGAGGACAGACGAGGACGTTCAGGACCCGGAGGACAGACGAGGACGTTCAGGACCGCGGGGCGTCTGACGTAAAGGCACAAGTTGTAGACTAAACCACCTCTGAGACCCCCTTCTGTTCCGTGAACCCACCTTTGAACCCGAGTCGTTGGGTTGTCCCTGAACTCTCCGCAGGAATCTTCTCAGCGTCTCACCTCCAGCTCAGACCCGACGGTACGGTGGACATCTTTTGTTTGTTTTACCAGAGCTCGGGCGGCAGCGGCTCGTAGCACCGCCCGACGTGCTCGACTCGGCGAGTTTGGGTTTGTACTGTATGTAAAAAACTGGACTAATGTAGATACACATGGATTTATGCTGCACACAAAGATTCTCCTCTATGAAAACTATTAAAGCTGAACCTGTGACCTCTGTCGTGTCTTCAGTAGACGGCGCCGGGCGGTCCGGTCCGTTCGCCGGAGGAGCGGAGGGAACTCGTAAAATCACATCAGACTCGGAACAACTCACGTAAAGCTTCACTTTTAACGTTTAAATCAAAAAGAGAAAAACATTTGTTCAAATAATTGTTGTTTCATATTTTACTTAACAAAGAGGCTACATATTAAGCTCTAAGTCATCGAACGATGCACTCGAGTCATCGAGGTCAAAGGTTAAACGAGGTCATTGCTTGTGTGCGGTTCTTGTTTAGTGTCATTGAGTCACAAGGACTCGTTTTCAGGAGAGACTTGTTCTAAACAAAACCACAGATGAGGTACAGACAACAATAAACAGCCTTAAAATCAGACTCCAGTTTGTAAATAATGAAAGTTCCTGATGCAGCCGAGTTAGTCGTGGAGTTCCACAGGGCTCAGTGCTAGGACCAGAACTCTTGACCCTATAAAAGTATAAAAAATAATAAATAAATACTGACAGCAGGTCTGCAGTTCATATTCACGCCTTCTGATCCTGGAAACTGGAAGAATCAACGGACTTTTACAGGTTTGTGTTTTCATACATACGAGTTGGAATTACCTGAGTTTGTGTCCACACAGGTGGATTCATTTATATCTCCCAAGAAAGGGGAGCAGTCGTGTAACTGTTAGCAAAATATCCCGTGAACCACTGACGAATGTCTGTTTATATTCAGGTAAACAGTTTTAAAGGTCCGTAACTCTGCAGAACCAGCCTCGTTAGTGGAGAGGCTCTGAGCTAACGGGTTTAATTACAAAAGTCCAACTTTACAGTTTGTAGAGGAACCCCCGGACCCAGGAGGAGCTCCAGGACCTCCTCCTCCAGGACCAGTTAGGACAGAGTCTGCCCCTCTGTGGTTCTCACCTGGACTGAGGTGGACCGCCTGTCCAGGTTCTGAGGTGAGTTTTTCTCGTGGACCGGAGAAGCAGTGAAACATTGATGAGAAGAGCGTTAAGTTGCTCCCGGTGACGACTTTTTAACGCGCTCAGTCATAATTCTATTAAAAAAAAAAATTGTATTTGGGCGGGAAAAAAAGTCCCGTTTTTTTAATGAAAAGATTTTTTTTTAATATTTGACTTTATTTTTCAGGCGCTGCGAGCGACTGCGGGCGGAGCGACACGTCGGGGTTTACAGAACCAAACGCCGTAAAACAGCCGGTTAGTTCAAGTTAACAGCCGAAAGACAAAAATGACTGTTGATGAAAGTGGTTGAAGAAACTTTAATAAACGTAGGGAAGCATCGAGTCGCTGCAGCTGCTTAAATATTACACATAATTAAAATAAATAATTCAGTCCTCAACATAAACAAACTGAAAGATTTTGTTTACTCTGATCAGGGAGAAAATAAACAATAAAAACTCATTTTAACTCCATTTTATTTCAACAAGTTAAAAATAAAAGTCCAAAGTGATTCATCTTTCAAAATAAAACTAATAATTTTCAGCGGCGACACGCTGAACTTTATGGAAACTGAAAGGAGTTAAAGTGAAAAGAAGCCGAACAACATCCAATAATGGTCGATCAGGTCATCTGGGCAGTTGCATTTTTGTGGAAAGACGTTTCGCCCTCTTTCCAGAGGGCTTCATCAAGCCAAACAAAAGCTCAAACAGAACACAAGCTAAAGAGGCAGAGCAGCAGCTAAAAGCTAAAACTGCCACTAATAGTTTCAGCTAGCAGAATGAGCAATAAAGCTAAAATTGATAAACAGATGGCTACAAGCTAAAATGGATTAACCAGTGGCTACAAGCTAAAATTGATAAACTAGTGGCTACAAGCTA